AACCTGACTTCTCAGTCAAAAGTAACACTGTGTAACACTCATCCACACAAACTGCCTTGTGTGTGATAACGCACGACATGTCGTTTGATAACGTTATCTGTCAGTGGACCACACACTGCATCTCGCGCCCAAACACCCTGCAGAACATTTGTGTTCTGCCACTTGGAGGTTTGGAGCTCAATAGCAGTAGATGGCAGGTGTCAAATCAAAGTGCTTTTTGGCTGTGCTGCATCACCAACAGCCTTGCAAACTCGAGAGCTGAACAAACCCTACCAGACGTGTGCTTCACTTGCAGAACCGAGGCCACGTGGGGAAACAACCCTTCCACGTGCAGACACCAGCCTGTGAACTTCACTGCCCTCAGCGCAGCGCAGCTCTGCCCCGCTCAACGGGACGTGGATTTTTGGTGCCCCCCTCCCTGCGGATCGATGTTCCAGCAGACACACCGCGCAATGGCAGAAGGTGTCTGCAGAGCTGATGGAGACGCTTACCAGGAAACAAGCTCAAATCAAAGGAAGGCGCACACCCGAGCTGAGAAGAGCAGCACGGAGATGTGATCACAAACAGAGCGGTTAAAGAAACCCTAAGATAAGCAGAGAAGGGAGAAGAGCAGCCGACCGGGCACGGACACGAGACCGCAGAGCCCTCCTGCTGCTGGCGCTGGCGCTCTACGCCGCGGTGTGAGCCCTGAGAAAAATCACTCCTGCACAGCCTGCGGGTTCAACGCCCACAGATGAGCTCGGAACGACGCACCGCCAACGGAACGAGAGCACGGACCGACGGACCGCCCCACGCAGGGCAGCAGCTTCACGCCCTCAAGATGGCGCCCTCCTCCTGCGCCACGCCCCCAAGGCTCCCACAGCGCCCGCGCGATGCCCCATCCCCTCAGCCAATGAGCGGAGCGACCGCGACCCGGGCAGCCAATCGGCGCGGGGCGAGGGCGGGGCTAAGGCATGGCGGCCGGGCGGGACGTGAGCGGCGGGCTGGAGCCCGTGGCCGTGGCGCTGTGGCCGCCCGGGGAAAGCCCGGCGCCGTTCCAGGTAGGCGGAGCGGGGCGGCCATCGGGAGCGCGTCGGCCGGGCGACGAAACGTGGCGTTCGGCAGCGCTGAGATCGCTCGCTCACCCGCGGGGGGCATCGGCGTCACCGAGCCGCGCGTCCGCCGTCCTTCCGACGCGGGCGGCCGTTCGGATAGCCCGGGTACCCGGGAGAGCCCGGTAGCGGGCTCTGAGTGCTGCTCTCCCCGCAGTACAGCCCGGACTGCGTGCCCGGGGCGGACGGAGCCATCGACCCCACCGAGGTGACCTTCCAGGGCTGCCCGTGCCGCGTCCGCTCCTGCACCTCCCCCTCCTGCCCGTGCGTGCGGCTCGGACAGCGCGGTCGCGTCCCGCATTGCGCCGCGCCGCTCTTGGAGTGCAACGCCATGTGCCGCTGCGGGGACGGCTGTCAGAACAGGGTCGTGCAGAGGGGTCTGCAGGTCAGGCTCCAGGTGTTCAAGACGGCTAAGAAGGGCTGGGGCGTCCGCGCTCTGGAAGCCGTAGCCGAGGGGAGCTTTGTCTGCGAATACGCCGGGGAGGTTTTGGGCTTCGCCGAGGCACGCAGGAGGAGCCGCGCCCAGGCGGCCCAGGATCCGAACTACATCATAGCCGTGCGGGAGCACCTCCACGACGGGCGGCTGATGGAGACCTTCGTTGACCCCACGTACATCGGGAACGTGGGCAGGTTCCTCAATCACTCCTGCGAACCCAACTTAGTGATGGTGCCCGTCCGCGTTGACTCCATGGTGCCCAGGCTGGCGCTTTTCGCTGCCGCCGATATTTCTGCTGGAGAGGAGCTTTGCTACGATTATTCTGGGAGGTTCCGTAACTTACCGCCAACTGAGGGGGAACAAAAAGCTGCAGAAGAAGGCAGCGTGCTGAGGAAGCCGTGCTTCTGTGGGTCCCAGACCTGCGCTGCCTTCCTGCCCTGGGACGGCTCCCTGTTCCCTGCTGCAGACACACATTTACAGAGCTCTCCGTAGCTCCCTGGCCATAAGTAGCGATGCCATTTTCTCCAGTAGTTGGAGTGCACCTAGATCAAACTCTGCAAACATCAAAGTAGAAGTATAAAGCGAGGTTTTGAGTAACAGCTGAGAACATAAGATTTTGAGACCACCTTCATGCAGCGTCCCAGAGGCTGTTTTCAAGGTGGATGATAAGAAGCTTCAGGGTGTTCCAGTCTCAATTACTGACCCGGGATTGGTGCTTTCTTCTTGTTTTCAGCTGACAGCTTACCACATGTTAACAAATTATGTCTTTAATTTGTACTAAAGCTTTCAGAACGAATGAGCATTAACACAGGTATGGAGAAGGGAGCTGTGGTAACAGCAACAGGCAGCTCTGGCAGTCACACAGAGGAGTGAGAGAGACAAAGGAATGCTGGAATTTGCAATAAGAGGCATTAGATGTCTTAAACCTTGTTGTAAGAAATAAATCTTTAAAATGAGTTGCTACAGTTCTCTTGTTCCACCAACCGCGATTCTTACACATGTTCAAAACCTGCCCTAAAAGGCTAACTTAAATGCTTCCCACCTGCTTTTCCTTTTCCAGTCACATGAAGCAGCTTGCCAAAATTCCTCATTAAGGGACTGTTCCATTTTGTTATTGTTTAGCTTCTGTGCAGAGTGCACAGAAGGCTCATGGATGTGGTTTAGATAGATGGGATGATTGCACTTCTATCTTGAGGCTCATCTGCTGTGATTTCTGCAATAACAGCAAGCATTGCTTCTACATTACTTTCCAGCACTGTAATATTGCACTCCAAAAGTAAAATCAGAGTGCAGCCCAGAGCAGCACGGCAACTGCTGTTCTGGCTTCTGAGATGGATTAAAGTTGGAAAGTGAAGTACATCTGAAAACAACAGACTGAGAAGTTAGAAGCTATTGTTTTCTTTTCTCTGTTTCTACAGAGGCAAACAGAATGAGGCAATGCCTGCCTCCTGCAGCAGGAAAGAAATAATTATTGCATCTTCTTTTTGTTATCCTCGTACAGAGATACACACACGTGCTGCTGTGCACGGCCTCCCTGCGGCGCTGCAGGAGAGCAGCTGGGGAGTGTTCTGTCCGCACTTCTGTCACTACAGAGGAACACCCACAGGAACGCAGCTGCTGTGAAAGGTACCATTCCCACACAGCGGGGGCAGCAGCTTGATTTCCTTTGGTCTGAGCTGGGCTGTCTGATTCTACAGAACTGTGTGGTTCTGTGACTCAGTGCACGCTTTGCTAGGAACCAGAACACAGCTTAGGCCGCAAGATTTCTCGTCTTGTTTAGGGGCTTATCTGGTTTTCTTCTCCCCAAGGGCATCGTGGCAGCCACCCAGACACTTTCAGCCTACAGGACAGGAGGTGTGGGAGTAGATGATCCAATCTGCTTCCTCTTTTTCCTTCTGGAAAAAGTTTCAAGATAGGTTTGTCTCCTGTATTCCTGTTCCTGAAGATTAGATGGGTTTTCAAGATGACAGCACTGTGTGTTAGCTTCCTGTTATGAATACATACTTGGCATGATTTCGAGTAGTTAAGGAAGTGTAAATTCAAAACCCAAATCAGAGGAGCACATTAACAATACCTGCTCCTTGCACCAGCAGCCTTAAATCCGAGCTCATTGCCTTCTGCCCATGCAGTCCTACCTGCCCAGCCCCCACCCGCTGCTGCTGTCTCTAACAAGCGAGCTGAGCAGTTATTGGGCCAAAACAAACTTCCACACACAGAGCAAGAAGGGACTGCAGGGCTGTTAGAAACAGCCGCACTGAAGGCCCATCACAGCGCACCTTTGTGTGAACAGCAGGGCTGCCTGCACTGCCTGCTGCCCTCGGGTGTGGACCGGAATCCTAAACGTGCCCTAGCAAGGAACTGAAAAAAAAAAATTGATATGAAGTTGTTTTTAAATAGCAAAGTGAACTTTCCACTATGCAGAGCTATATACAGCTTCGGTTCTGTTTGTTTTACTCCAAGGCATTTTTCCAGAATAAAAACGAAAAACAACTCCGCAGAGTCTTTATGAAGTGTATCTCTGAAGGCAGAATTATGCCTTTTAGAAAGGGAGAATCAATTTTATTAAGAATTAACAGGAAAAGATGTTTCTAATACACAGATTTAAAACCTTTCATGCTGGTAAAACGACCTCAGCGTACAAAATATTTGCCACAGAATCCTAGCTTTCACCACGCTGGCGTGTTCTGGAATCATTTTCTCTGCTGCTCACATGAGTTTCCCACTGCCCCAGAGGAAGGGCTCCCCTGATGCTCTCCTGTGCCTCCCAGTATCAAACACCAAGTGCAGAGGGAGCTGGATGGGCACAGATTTGTATTCACCTCACACTGCATTGACCCGCACCTACTTCACCGCAAAGAAAACACTGCTGGGAAGGAGTGTCATCAATGCAAAACTTCTGTTAATCCACCGCATTTTTCACTGATATCTCTGAGAGCATCTGACAAGACTGCCGAGTTCAATCCATTTAACACAGGCACTTACACAGCCTGACAGAGGTCAGCCCCACTGCTGCATAAAAGGTCCAGGAGGAGAGCCGTGCCGGGGCAGAGCTGACAGCACAGACATTCCCTGTGAAGGCTCCAGTTAGCACAAGCACCCCCTGCTGCAGCAGTGGTAGTTGAGAACACTTTGTGACAGGGCTGAAATACATTCAGATCCTGAAATGAGGTAGTTCTCAGTATACCCCCTTCTCCTTGCTATCGTTATTCTTTTAAATAAGGAGGGGTTGTTTTATTTGGGTGTTTGTTTTGTGTTGGGGAACAGACAACAGCTTCTTATTTTATCTCATTAAACCTTAGGGCTCATAGTTCCATTTGCCATATTTTGATTTGAATGAATTCTATTCTAGCAGTCATTCATTAGCCTCAGTTTCCAGTGCCATATTTGCAATTTGGAAGTTCTGAAAGTAAGCCTACAACCCAGCCAAGAGAAATTCAAAGCACGTTGCCAGTATTTTTCCCCACCAGTAAAAGTTTTCAGCGTGAAGAAATGCTTGATATTTTATTCAAATACATACATTTCTAATCCTCACAGTGATGATTATCCCTCCCCCCAGTTGCAAAAGGCACTTCTTCCTATGGAGCAGATAGTATTGCACCAAAAAAGCACATTGCTGGATTTGATTTTTGCTGCCATTAGAACGCAATACACCAGCTGCACTAAGTGTCCCTGTGTTGTCTTCGTGTCTTTTCCAAATGGTAAGTATGCCTCCTACAAGGTTATGGAAGCAGTAACTGCTTCAGATTTCTTTTAGAGCTATCCAGGAGCCTATGAAATCCTCATTTATCAGATCTGAGTGTGGAGATTCAAACGATACATAAATACATTTAGTTATTAAAGAACTTTTCCAAAGGATCTACTAAATAAAATTAACATTTTAAAACACTGTCAGCATGTTTCTGCTCAGGTTTGTGCTTATGTAACTCCAGGCTACTCCCACTGAAAGCAGTACCTCTAAGAAGCTTGGTCATGATGAAAGTCCAGGCCAGGTTCCCCAAGCATAGGCACACACAGCTTCAAGCAGTGCTGGCGAGTGCTGGAATTTTCCTGTCCAACAGGAACTTTAAGCACAAGATTTTCCATTCTCAGCAGCAGGTAACACTGCATGCCTCCTCCCTGAATGCAGTGCAGCCATCTGGTCACTGTGGGTCCGGCAAGGCATCCGCTGCACAGCGAAACCCCAGATTTGAAGCTGAGCTGTCAGGGGTGTTTTGGCTGCGGGCTGCACAGCGATACCTGTAGCAATAAGACTAGAGAGAAAGGGACAAAGATCACTTCAAAGCCTGTCTCATCTTGGGTTACTTCAGGCAAAAGCTTGTTAGGAGTGGTAGAGCAAACCATTTCAAATGCAGCTGGGAGGACCAACGAACCAATGCAGGTCAATGTCACTGTGCTAGAAAGAAGGTAAATATCAGCATAACGAGAGCAATTGCAACAGACACAGGAACTACTTTGATGTTATCAGACATTTGGCCATTCAGAGGGCACTAATAATGCATCCTGCTCCAACCAAAGCAGAAGTGACTGCCATCAATGCCTTCATCTCTATCAAGATACTGATGGCCAATAGTGACCAGGTGCTGACAGCTGTCAGAAAGCATTTTGCTGAAAGAAATGTAAAAAAAGGAAAGAATGACCAGAAAAAAAGCTTTTCCCCAGTATGGTCAGGATTTAAAGGATATTTGTAATTGAAATATAATCTGGACCAGTGGCTATGAAAATATTTAAAATGATGCCACTGCTAAAGTGATTCAACTGTACTGCACTGCAGAGATCCCAACAAACAAGGCAAGGCCAAAAGTCTTTAAAGTGAGATGCACACGCTGGACTGGGAGGTGCTTTGTACACTGCCTGGCTGGGCAGATTTAGTCATGTCTCAGTGCACATTCATCTCATTATGCTCCTTAGGGGGAAAAAAGAAATGCTATTCAGTGTAATTTATTGTTAATTAGCTGACGTTAATCGTGGTGATTTCCAAACACCACAAAACCAACCAGGTTCAGTGCATAGCTACGTTAGGTTAGGCTGCCCAGAAGCAGTTAGCACTGCAGCAAGGAAGAACAGTTGTGCTGTTACCAGGAAGGGCTGCAGTGGCTGTACAGCTGTGGCACATCCCAGCACAACGCACCCAAGCCGTGCCCCACTTCAACACACGTGGCTCAGGGATTTTTTCTCAGCCCTGCCCTCTGCTCAAGCCTCCAACAAGCAGTGCCACCTCCCCAGGCTGGGTCAGCTGCACACAGTCAGGCTCTGAAGCACATTTCTGGAGCAACTGAGTTAAAAAGCAAAGTGCTGGGGAGGGAAGGAAGGGCTGGCAGTTGGTTGTTGGGTTTCTCCCTCCTTTAAATCCAGATCTTCTCAGGAATTTGGGCTCAGCTACTCAGCCACTGCCTCTGTACAGTTCTGAGGGCAGCCACAAGATGCCAGCGGGCAGACAGCACTGCTCCATGCAGCCCTGCAGAGGCAGCAGGACCACCACGCTCCTCTCTGCCAGCACCAAGTTCTCTCCATCTAAGGAGATGCTCAAAGCCCCATTCTTTGCAAGCTCTGATGCTGACACCAAGCAGAGAGCAGCTGTTGGCCTAAGCAGGAAGGGAGCGTGCTGCTCTGACCTCGTGCTGCATAGGTCCAGCCCTCGATTTCAACAGCAAACTGTTCGGATTTGGAAGCTGGAAAGTGCATGCTGGATTCTTTGTCAGCTTTAAGAGGTAGAACAGCAAGTCTAAGTAGATTTTCAGGTAACCAATAAAAAGTCCTTGTACTAATAGCACTTGGATTTTTGTCTTGATACTCAGCCTAGTTTTATCACCTACAAAATACACCAGGACAGACCAGAATTTTCACAAGCCTTTAAAATGGGTCACATTATTCATCACCAAAGATGAATCTATTTGAGCGTTAATTTAATCAAAACCACTAATTAACTTCTGACATTGATTTCACCTAAGAAGGAAATCAGTGTAGAAAATGGGATCTCACTGTACAAATATTTAATTTAATTATGAGGATGGTTTCCCAGCTGCAGACTTTGAAAGGGAAGAAGGAACAGAACAGCTTTAGTGACAGTGAGAAATACCCGAGTGCTTTCTGCAGTGCAACGTGAACAGTTTAATACATGACTTAAGAAAGAAAGAATAATGAAAAAGATAAAGATAATGAAAGAAGCTTTGTAGACTCTATCCTGTATTTCCCACTCACAGTTAAGCCCAAATAACACAAATGGTGATTGCTCTGTGGCTGTACCCAGATTTCTAGGAAGAATTTCAAATCAGCCACCAAGCCAGAACAGTCATCATCCCCCAGCCATCCCTCTCCAAACACTCTGTATTGTTCGTGGGTCAAGAATCATTCCTGAAGAGTATTTGACTGTCATTACTGTGATGTAGTTCCAGAGGAAAGATCACTGAGCACAGATACCCATCCTGAAAAGTGGTATTTTTATTTTTAACCTGACAAACTAAAAGGAATGCCTGCTGATTTCTACAGAAGATGATTTTCCTACAGCAAATAAGTATTTTAATTAGGATGTAATAATATTTCTTACTAACTCCAGTACTGAACTCTTCAGCACTCTCCCCAGCATCAGAAAATGTTTATGACAACACTTGGGGTAAGAGCACAGCTTGGCAGTCACATCAGTAATGTATCCTTTGGAAGCTCTTGGCTTCTCCGTACTTCTTTACTTCTTAAAAAGACATTTACACAGGGCTGTGTGCCAACCCAACTCGTTTCCAAACTGACCAATCTGACAACAGCAATTCAACAACTCTCAACTGGAAAATAAGCTCAGGGCTAGGAGTCCTCCAAGATCAAAAACCACCTTCTAGGAAGGAGTGAAGTGAGACTGAACAGAGAGACCCCTACAGCTTAAGCAGAGCCCATGGCAGATGAGAAGCACTGGCAGCTGCCACATTCCTGTCCCACCAAAAGCATCGTGTGTGTGCTCAGACCCAGCTGCACACGTTTCAGACTTAGAAATCTGCACTGAGTTAAAATTTGCACTGAACATTTGTGGTACTTTCCAGGTCAGGTCGGCCCCGGTGATGTGAGAAAAAGGTTTTGAGTTTCAGATGATGAAAGGTCACCTGTCTTTCACACCGAGTTTCATATTGAGCTCCACATTATATAAAGATACACTTATCTAGAGCTGGAATCTCTTGAACAAGCAGTACCTTGGTCGAGTTGCTTTCAGTTTCCCATGCAACCGAAAATTCTGCGAGTCAGAACTAGAGGAGCTTCGGTTTTTCTGGCCAACACTATCTATGCTTACTTCCTCCTTGCCACACAGACATCTGTGTCTCCTTCCAGAGGGAAACAAGTACTATCCAGTAGAACAAAAAGGAATATCCATATAGGTTTATACAGGATGTTTTCAAGTTTCTGGTGAGGTCAAGTACCAGCTGCCCAGTACCTTCAGGTTAGAGTTATATCATCATAAATAAAGAGAATGCAAGTGGAAAGTGGAACCTGCTAACGACCCCCTGGCTAAACAATTAATTGTGCTGTCAGCTGTTTCACAGTACCTTGTGGCACATGTATGATCCACCCTTCTTCACTCGGTCAGTCCCCGACGAGGGCCCTTTCTGCAGATGAGAGGACACTGTCAGCACTCACAGAAACAGCAATTGCCAATCATAGGGTTAGGGGGAAGAAGCTGTGAGAGCAGGGAGATGGAGAACAGCATCCAAAGGTGCTCTGAGTAAACAAACCTTCAGCTGTGCCCGAACCAAAAAGCTTTAAAGCAGTTAAGATTGTGTAGTTTTTGACTTTTCCTAGGATCACATATTTCCACATACCAGCCTGCTATCAGTGAAAGATGAGACTCTCATCAGCCCCACGGCTCCATGTCACCACCACAGTGTGTCAGATAAACACATCCATGGGCTGCTTGTGGCCGGTCAGAGATGGGGGGCTGTAATCCCCACTATTCGGTGCTTACTGCCTCCCAGTCCAAAGTGCAGACTGAAGCACAAGCTAGTGACTGTGCTGCAAGACATTCTGTAACAGCTCCCACTGCTGCGTGCTGGATCTCTCATTATGCAGCTTTGTGACAGCTAGAAAGGTCTGCAGAAAGCACTGTGCTCACGAGCTACAATTCTGTAATTGCATGTCCATTTGCAGTGTAATGTAGGTGATTTACTTTAACTGCTTATGAAATTGGCTCTAGAATTGCTTTAACAAAGTTATTTCACCATTCTTCTTCAACTCCAACTCCAAATAATGGCCCACTAGTTCAAGGAGACACTGGGCTCCCATGATAATACTTCTGCTAGCTTTGTTGCATATTTATTGAGCATGTGAGCAATTCTCCCCTGTGGTTCCTTTTAGCTGAGTGAAGTAGTTACTACTGCTCTCATCTACTGCTTAACAGTAGAGACTCCTGCCATACTGCGTGTTCCTACTATTGATATCAAGCATTCCTATAAGCTTTTTAGTGTCCATGTGCATTGTGAATCTACTTTCAGGATGAAGCCACAAGAATATGTCCTATAAAAGCAACAAGATCAAGAAAAGCTATTTTATTAGAGAAGTGGCAAGGCAAACCTAAAAGATAACACAGGCACTGAGCAGCCTCTCAGTTAATTTGCATGACGTTTTATTTCTGTCTACATTACATTGGCGTGCAATCAAAACATTTCCTTATCACCTCCAAGCCTCAAAGAGCCATCCACTCAAGGCATAAACTGACATGGCTTCCACTGGATGTATAAATCACACCTGTAAATCTACAGAAAATCTTATCAGAAAAAAAAGGAGGGATACAGGAAGAAAAAAGCCTGTATTTTCTGCTAAGGCCATTACATACAACCAACAAATGCAGGCTGCAAAAAAGTCATTAGCTCAGTTTTTAGCAGTTAGAAGAATTCATTGCCACAGAGCATGGAGATGATAAAAGACAGACCACAGAAAGGTACCATAATAAGTTAAAAACAAACTACTGATGAAAAATAAAACCTGCCTGTTGTTGTTCTTCTCATGCCCAGCTGACAGCCCATGCACCCAGGACGTATCAGGAGGGTGCTGTGCTTGCTGCAAGGCACGAAGGACAAAGCCTTGACCAACAAAATGCAGCTACTGCAGCAAATTTTCCCTTCATGCTGAAGCCTCACCCTGAAACATCTCTCACTTACTGCAAAAGCTTATAGGAAATCAGACAGAAAGAGAACTGGCCTACTCCCACATTTACCGTCCTACAAGTATCCAAGGAAAAGCACATCCACACGCTGTGTCTGCTGGCTTCCAAGCCTGGCTGCTCCCCTAGGGCAGGTTTCCTCTTTTTCAACATCTCTGGAAGCTGCTTACCCAAAAAGTGCATATGGGGCACAATCAACTCAGGCAACCTGTTAATCTCATTTCAGGGAAGCCAGGGTACACCCAGCCGTAAGAAAACTGACCTAAAAAAGCCACGAGAACAAGCCAGAACACAATGGAGCTGTTCAACAGGATTTCCCATTACAAAATGAAACTCAAATACAGAGCTTCAGTCTTTGCTGTGAGCTCTGAAGTGACTCTTACACTAAGAGAGGTGTGCTACTTGAGGGTTGGGAGGGTGGCTGTCCAATGCAGCTCTAACTGCTGGAGCACGTTGGGATGGGGCAGCGTACTGAAGAAGCATGAGAACTAAAGAAAACAGCCTAAGTTCTTTCTATTAGTTCCAAATAACTTACAATACTCAATTTTTGCCTGGCAGAAGATACCTGATAACCATGAAGTTAAGTTGAACTCCCCTCCCCCAGCCTCCGAAGAAGATCACAGCACTGATACGCTTTACCACTGCACAAACCTCACACGGGGATCTCCAGTAATCTATGCTACTGTGAAACAGCATCCCCCGGGTAGATAATTCTCTCACATCACTGAAGGTGAAGAGTTCATCATGACACTGAGGAAGTTCTCTGAAAAGCAGCCAGGGGTTGTGTTCTCCTCCAGTATGCAGCTCAGCTCCTCTACAAAGGCTCTGTGCATAGCCTAGCTCCCTATCAGGGCCATACGGGCTGATCTGGAAACAGCACATTAGATGTACCAGATGTGTCAAGAAACTTCCACTAAGCTCTGACCCTCTTGAATCCATCTATCTTTCGGGCAAAAAGAACATACTCCATATATGGGTTATGTTGAGCTGTGCTCTGGAGAGGCTTAGGAGGTTGGCACTGATAGTTACAGTGCTAATGATTTCTAATGTCTCAGAAGATACTGCAGCCTGGCTATTCGGGGACGTCTTCACGTTATGAGATTCAGTTTCCTTTTCCGTTTCATCAGAACTCTTCAGAACTCACACTGGAGAGCCCAACCTCAGACACGATATCCTGACAACTAGTTTACAACTGAAAAACTAAAAACATAATTATTAACACCCAATAATTAAATCCTTTCCAAAGCATCTGGGAAACGTTTGTGTTGAATTTAAAAATCCAGGCCAACTCGCATCCTCTTAAGTTTAATAGAGAGCAAAATTCTCAAGTCAGATATAACACTTGTTTCCCACCATCACCTGAATTGAATGCAGAAGTACTACTGCACCAGCATTATAAATACAGCAGGAAGAAACGAGTGGCCAAAACTGAAGTGGCTGTTAAAGTGAGCAACAGATGAACAAGAACAGGGATAACTGCAATATGCTGCAAACTACCAGACCTGTGTTCTTTCCCAGGAACACAGATGCTGTTTGTTTCTGAAAGAGCAGGGGTAGGTGCAGGGTCCTTCCTGCTCTGCTGAGGTAGCACATGCCCATCATTGTGCTGTGGTGCCAGGCACTGAGAGGAGAAAAGCAGAAGCTTTCCTGGCTCAGACAATGGTTACCACAGTCTGGAACAAAAAGCTCAATGCTGCTTACTTGCTTCCTCCTACCCTGACTTACCAGGCTGCACTGAATCAATACTCATCTACTCTGACAAGAAAGTTCTCTGACTTTGTTCTTCACTTTCATCCAGATCTACATCCTGCTAACTATTCAAGGCTTCATCTTCATCGTGTTTCTTTGGTTGCTTTCAGCTATTGCTAAGCTATTGAAGACTGCCTGCGAACAGAAGTTACAAAATAGCCCACCCAGTTTTTAAAAATCAAGCAAGGAAAAAAGCTACAGTCAAAGCAGTTCAGTCACCTGGAGAGATGTATGTAAATCCACCATCTGATCCATAGTTAAACCTACCAAATAAAACCTGTGGTGTCTTCCTGGAATACAAGTAACCTGGAATCAGCCAATGTGCTCGGTACATTAAGAGGTCTCCATCAGTGCACTGAAACTGCTAGAACAGACCTCGTGCAATTAGGCCTAAGGAGGTACCTCATGCTGGTGACGCCATCCTGATGAAACAGCAGAATGTCAGCAAGCACTGACCAGCAAAGTTTAACAAGTTCCTCAAGCTGCTTCCAGCTGCTGACTTCCCACAAAGGTCTGTGATTATGCCCAGCACACCAGACAAAGACAATATGTACAGGACCACAGCGTGGGGATACTCAAATCCTGCAGGAAACAGATAGCTCCTGCCCAGAGAGGCTTAACTGGTTTTCTCATTACAGATAACCATATCTGAACAAAACAAGTTCTGTGAGAGTGGAGCAGTTCACTTCTCAGATTTAGTCATCCTAGATAAATGAGAGAGGATATGTAACATTAGAGCTTGAATCTGCTGAGAGATATGGTGCAAGAAAACCAAAACACAAAGCTCACCCTGCTGGGCCTCTTCCACTGGCTGCTGTAAAGATAACCAAAGATTAACCCCTTCAAAGCCCAGAAAGCTACTTCTCTCCATAAACATCAGCTTTATTACATGCTCAGCTTAAGTGAGCTAGTAAAATCCATTAAAATAATCCAGGATGGTTTGTTCTCTACCTAGAAAAAAAATAAATAGTGCAGCTTGTAGCAAAACATCCCCCTCCCATTTATTCCATTGCATTAGCAAATTCTTTACTTGTTTCACCTGATGTCAGTTTGGAAGCATTCAACTCCTAACCAATGGCAGAGGCCAAGAAAAGAAAATGAAATTGCACTACTGCACTGCTATTTCAGTGCTGGGGACTTGTGGTGTGACACACAAAGAGGAGCAAAGAACAGTAGGTTTCTAATCAGCAACCAAACCCAAGTAGTAAGAGGGAGCCGTGCCCTTACATGTGCCATTAGTATACTCACAGGGTCATGAGCTTCATCTGCTGAATGATGAACAGCCCACCAGTCAGATGTCCACTCCCAGGCATTTCCTACAATGTTGTACAAGCCATATCCATTGGGAGGAAACGCAGTGACCTATACAAGACAAATAACTGCCAGTTCTTCAAACCACCCCACATGAAATAAGGTTTTTAAAACCTGAAGACCGTTTTGCTGTAAGTTGATTTCTGCCAAGAGCTCTGCCTTCGTGTCTCACAGACAGACAAACCAGCAGTGCAGAACTGTGACGCATTGGCCTACTCCACTTCAGTAAAACAGAACAAAAGAATGAACAGCTATGATCCTCGATGTTCCCAGCACTGTGTCCATTATGGCACCTGGCCTATTCTCATCAATTTTGCTGACTGATCCTCTCAAGAGGAGCACTGTCTGACAAACAAACACAGAACAGCACACAGCATCAGCACTCGTTCCTACAACTTCTAGATTCCCCTTCCGCACCTAAGAAAACAGGAATGGCTGTCACCTCATCCAAGCACAGATTTCTTAACTGATTAAACTTCTAAACTGCCACTTAATTCACATTCCAATCTTGGAAAAAAAACCCACCCCATTGTTTGCCATAGTGGACAGGCTCCAAAAAGGGAAGCTGCATTTCTTTTACTGTACAATTTTTGTAGCTTGGGAACACCAAATCAACAGTGAGAGCTAAAAAATGGCGATGCCAAAAGTAGAGGCATGAGAGTTTCAGCATCTGACTCAAAAGGGCTTGGAAATGGGGAAAAGGGGTCAGTTTGAGAAGGACTAAAAGTCAAAATGCAGGTAATCTTTTCAATTAAGCTTTTAAAACGTATCCATTGGTAATATTCAAGCCTGCAGTGAAATATACTGGAACTTGAAAATCAAAAGGTAAAAGTACAGAGATGGAAAACATCCACATTCATTATGTTGAACATGGACCTGGATGTTAGGAAGTTAATTTCCATATGCTGATTCAATTTGAGACACTCTTACCGGTGCAGTTCCTTTGTATCCATCTTCTGCAGTGTTGTTACTTGGGAAAACTCCCTGCCAGATGTTTGCATAATGCTGACCTTTGGGCTGAAGCTTGTTGCCCCATGGGAAAAGTCTATTAAAAGACAGAAAAACAGTTGTCAAACTCTTATTTTATTCTTTTTAATAAATGAAACACTTTATCCATCCTTTTACTGACCACCTTACTCTGGGGAAGCTGTTTGTATTTCAGTTCCATTTGTACTAACACTTTCTTTAAGCACGAAGGCTTTAAAGAATAACAAGGCTTCTACAAGGGCAATTTGTTACCAAATGAGGGAAAAGCAGCCCTTGCTAGCACTGCCATGTTCAGCATGCAGTTCAGAACACAGGATGGAGGGGACACAAAGAAAACAAACACAAAAAAAACCTGTTGTTCACTTGGTCTCCCCCTTCTCCCATAGCCCATGGTCACCTAAAAGGTATATCCACTGATCCTAATGCTGTGAAGCAACACACGTAATTACTTCTCAAGCTCCTTTGTAACTCCTTCAGTCTTGGCACTAAGCCCTTTTTTGTCTTATCCTCCACCTCCTGCAATAGCAGCAGTCCTATACCTTGGCTTTGTATCACATCTCACCCTCCTGGGCTCTTTGCATTCACTTTCTGCTATACATCTTAGGTGACATAAAGCAATATGTTCAGAGAAAGCCTGCATTACATTTACCATGGAGGCATACACTATACAAGACAGGCATGGAGGGAAACAAAAAACCCTCTCAGCTTTTCCTTATCTAGTAACTCATCAGTTTTAAACACGATAAGAGACATCTGTGGCAGGTACCTTTTCTCAAGGCCCCCTCGACAGCTGTACTCCCATTCAGCCTCTGTTGGTAATCGCTTCCCTGCCCACGTGCAAAATGCTACCGCGTCATTCCAGGACACGTGAAGAACTGGATGGTCCATCCTGGAGGGCAAAACAAACAGGAAAGGCCATCAGCAGAAGCAGGTAGTCTCACAGCAGTGCAGAAAAAGGACTTCACAAAATTCTGAAGAGGTGGCCACAAAACACTGTGAGAAGGTTTACGCCTTCAGTTTGAACCAGACAAGTTACCAGATCACTTTTACAGAAAATAAACTATGTAAAGAAAATCAAGGAGCTATGGTAGGTGTTGGATGGGTAATGCAGCCACCAGACAGAACGATGGATGTGCTTTTATGTGTAGCTCCACAGCAGCACAAGTCTGGTACAGCTTGCACTCTCTCATATCAGGAACCTGCTGCACCAAGAGCCAGCAAGGAGCTGCTAATTTGCTGCCTCCTGGGGAAATGCTTAGAATCCCAAAGGAAGACACCAAAAGTAATTGAAGACTGCAGCAAGACTCATTTCTCAGCTGACTTCATAGTATCTTAACAAGTAACTAAGACTCGATAGGTAAATATACATTGCAGTTTAATGGCAAATAGAATCACTGTTCAATCCCTTGCACACTCCTCTTTTTGCTGCAGGTTATTTGCTTTCAGCTGTGGGGTTTTTGATGGAGAGTAGTTTTGATGTAGATCTTTTGCAGCACCCAATCCAGGAAGCAGTCACCTGCAGAAGTTTAACAAAAAAGTATTCTTCTGTGTTCTTTAGGCAATCCACAGTTTACAGAAAGGCTCTCATCTTCCCCTTGGTTTGTTTCCAGGACTGCACTTGGAACCCCACGCTCTCTTTCCAGAATGAATGCCCAATTATTCTTGTCACAAGGATCATTCCATCTGAGCCTCTGACAGACTGATAGGCTTCGAGAGCTGAGGATACTGATCCAGAGGAATTCCTATTCACTTCTCTTCTCTGCCTTGTTTTAGCAAGCCTGTTAAAATAGCCTGCACCTATGGAAGCAGAATACTGCTTTCATATGGAAGTTCATAGCAGTTGTACCAGCCTAAGTTTGCACTATACTTCTGCAAGGCAAGATTTGCATGGCATTTTTCCAGCTGTTATGTGCTGACTGTGACCTCAATTTCTCAATCTCCCCCTAACAATGCCTCCACATATTATCTCTATTTTTGCCTCAGATAATTCTTTCATTGCCCTTGGAGAAGAGACAATGGATTTGTTACTAAGCAGTTCAGCCATCAGATGATGTTACATTAACCTAACCCTGTTCTTAGGGGACTCAAAAACATGCCAACATCCACTAGATCTAGGCTAGAGAGCCTGGCTATTTCCAGCAGCAGTTGTGAAACTTCAACTAGTTAAGCAGTTAGTGTCAACTTCTTTGTCATTTGCCTAGTGAGAGAAGTAATTTAAGAGGTCAAAAATGAGGACACTGACACCTAAGTAAGCACCCAAGTCAGGTAAGATGTTTACAGGCATACTTACAGCAAGCACTGCGTATCATAACAGAACAGCCCTTACACCTTACCTGCTCAGGATGCTGGAGCCAGGACCCTCGGGTTGCCTCCAGTTGGCTCCCTTCACAGGCAACCACCAGGGAGCAGCTGCAACCTGAAGGGAGACAGAAATGGACAGGGAAGATGCTCTCAAATTCCCATCTAAAAGCTATTCTGAAAAAAACAAGTCCAGTGACAAATGGCTGTAAAGCTTTAACTCAGTGCTCAAGGCTCTGCTTGTAGCTGGCTTATCTACTACATTGCACATCACCTCTGAGGAACCAAGACAATCTCTGGATTCATATTACAACATTGCTGGCCAGAAAATAACCAAAGGTATGGATCAGAACAGTGAAAAATACACCCAAAAAATTAATAAGAGGCAGGCAAAACCTTGAGCATACTTCCCTGCAGTGCTGCCTCCTGGCTGTCTCTTTCTGTGTGCAGGTGAGATTTTCTCACCCGCACACCTGATTTAAGCCAGGGTTTATTCCTTGGGAAGGCACGGCCTTCAGCACACTTCCTGAGGCAGATCAGACTGTCCTCTCTGAGATTCTCATGTATAATTCTTCCGAAAGCACACGTCAAATGCACCTCGGGTGGCAGTGGTTGAAAAACCACCTAGAATATTCGAGTTTTCCTCGATCTTTTCACAGCATTGTTCCCACAGTACATTCAGACCAATTAACCTCCTGGCTGATTCTGGTCTGACACACACTGCAGGGGTAAGAAACAGCTTTAGCTTAAAGAGTGTTTTCATTTCAATTATTTTCTCCCCAGACTCCATGTTTTAGAATAACTGAAACAAAATCCTGATGACATCCTTTAACAAGGGTCAAAAACACACATCTTACAACACTTCTGCTTCCCAGCTAATTTAACTGAATCTGAAGTACTAGCTGTCAGCTTCCAGAAGGTGGAGACGGGAGAGACACAGAAGTGAAGCTTTATGTATTTATTTAGAAGTTGGCTTAGTGAACAACATCAAGCTCACAAACTGAATGCTGTGTAACACTGCAAACATCCAGCACTTCTCTGACCAGAAGTCTCCAATTTGGCTTTGCAATACCAAGGAAGTATTCATGGAATACACTCATTTAAGGACTTCTCCTACTAGGTTTACTTCCAAATTACCAAAGCAGTAAAATCTCTTAAAGATCTTGCTTTCTGATCTCCCTAGCATGAGGAGGAAACAAATCGATATCAGCCACGTAACTGTAGCTCAGGATGTAACAAAACCATTGACCCTCTCTACAATTAGAGGCCCTCATGCTTTTTTTGGGAGGAGGGGAAGTATTTGATCTCTCACTAGAAGCTACAGCTTTGTTACTGAGCACTCAAACCCCAAACAGGACTTTCCTTCAGCTCAGCTCTCATAGCACTATCTGAAGCCTCAGAACGGCCAAGCTGCTGATCAGATACTACAGATAACAGGCTTAACACCAGCCTGATTTATCCAATTCCCTGTTTTGAGCTTTAGTCTACATTCGAGAGGACAGAAAGCTCAGGTCAGAATTTGCCAACTCTTACAGCAACAGAAAAGAGCCACAGTTCTATTCGCTGAAAGTTCTCCCTGAATACAAAATACCAGGAGTAGGATTTTAGCCTGACAGTCACTGAGTGCAATACAGCATTTTATCAATTAAACTGCTACTTTTCAGAAGAATCTCTGCAAATGACTGCAAAGACTTGCACTACAGAAGACTAATTTTGGAAAACATTTTCACTATGCAAAAGAAAAAGCAGATGCTTTCGATCAGAAGAGCTTATTTTAAACAGAAAAAAATACAGTCTCTCTGCATGAGAGCACTACGTGTGCTCATCTTCTGTTTCTGGCTGAACTGAACACCAAACGGCTGCCAATACCTTCAGAACACCCAGATCTTCAGAGGACGCTGATAACAGTGATGAACTACATGCAGCCTCCAATAATTAACTGGAAGCTAATTTAAGTCAGCCACTGGCAGCACTGAGCACGCACCAGGATGCTCTTCCCAAAAGTGAAAGTCACGTACCTGAAATTTACAGCCCTTTCAAAAAACTTCTCAGAAGTCTACAAAGCTTTTAATTGCTCTAAATCTAATTAGCGGGAAAGCTAATTAGTAATATTACAACATCACATTTAACACAGCAAAGCTCTCCCTTACCACTAATGAGCTTAGCTCCTTTCGTAACGCTCCGCATTCTCATGCCTCGCTGCTAAGTGTGCTTTGTGGGCTGGCAGGAGACTCCTCAAAAAGCAGCAGCAAAGGCTGCTGGAGAGATCCTGAAGAGATACTGGATTAGAAGAGGCTACTGGATCTATACTGATTCCCTCCTTATAGCACAGCTATCACCTGTAACAGAACCAGCTAAATGAGACCACTCTGGTGTTGCACAGCAGCCCTGGTGCATAAGGAAGGTGCAGTTCTGGTAGCAAGGAGCATTTTGGAAGCAGAAAAGCTCAGTGCTCATTCTGGTCTGATCAAGAGGGAAACGTGGCATTATCCAGCTCTGCTTCAGGATTAAACTTCAGGAACTCACTGTTCTGCTTATCACTGTTAGTACTGAAGAGACGAGAACACATGATAACGCCATGAAGATCAATAGGAACTGCAACCTATTTGAGTTTTCCACTCAAATGAAGCAATTTGCTGAGCTGAAACCTACACTCCCACTATCAGCTTGCATTAAATTTAAAAAGCTTTAAGTACTCAATTTTCTTATCAAGGTAGGCTGTGATATCCTCACTTTAACTGCTCCATTAACTGGTGACTTTCTGACAACTTCACAACTGTCTTGAAGAAAAATTCCAAAAATTACTGGATAGGGAAACATCAGCAAAGTCAGTTTCATCATCAGCGTTATGCCATGTTCCTGGCAGTGCAGAAACAGTAGGAACATATCCCACATAAAACAACCACAGCCAGCAGCCATGAAAACATCTGGATTGATCTTGGGGCTAACACAGCACTGCCCACTTTGGAAGCTTCCCCTCCCCTCAAGCCTCACTTCAGCCCCAATTTGACTTTCTAATCACATTTATCACATCTTTAATTTGCAAAAGCATCCTCTTAGCTACAAAAGCAGCGTGTGCATAGGCTGGAAGCAGGGAAGTTAGGAAGCATTATCTTTGAGAAATACCCAGTGGTGTGGAGATCTTCACTACTGTGAGGTAGTAGTAGTTTTTCAGTCAAGAATATCATTTTGAGTTGAAGATTTGCAGATAAACAAATCTGTTAACTTTTCTTCCTCTATGCCATATCCTAAACTTTGTGCAGCTGACTCATCAACTGAGGAAAGAGGCAGACAGAAGACAGAAAATTCAGCGTTTTCAGTAGGGCAAGCAGTTTAAAAAATAAAAATTTAGAGCATACTGAGTAACAGATGAGCTACTGGCATTTTCCCTTCAGAAACTACAGAAATCTCTTTAGGTTAGGCCCGAGCCACAAGCCCCATTACACCTATTATCATTGGTGTATCTTTCTCATGCCCCTCAAACCCTTCCCCTGGCTAAGATTGGGGCAGAGATGTCTCCCACCACCCCCAGGCTCATTATCACAGCACCTCCCTCCCCTGCAGCAGAGCTTCCTGCCATCTGCAGGTAGTGTTACCTGCACCTGCCTGCAAAGCGGGCTGTGGATCTGCTGAGCCCTGGGCTCAGCCCCAGCAGTGCCAGACGCCAGCAGGCAGCAGCTATTCTGGTCTGCCGTGTTAGCATGGCCCTGCTCGGGGCTGACAGCCACCCACCAACACTTTGGCTGCTTGCTGCCACTTCACATCCTGCTCAGGATAAGAGGGAAACCAGTGGAAGGCACAGAGATTTGCAGTCGAGCTCAGAACACATCACACGATGAGGGGCAGTTTAAACAGGTGGAGCTGTGCTGTGGCTCCTGCTCAATTGAAAAGCCATTTTCCAAACACAAGGCAAAGCCCTTCGGCAGATGCACGCTGCCTGCTCACCTCAGCCAGCCTGCAGTGCTTCTTCTCCTTTTTATCAGCACACTGCAAACAGCACAATCATGACCTATTTCTATGCAGTACACGATCCCCATAGCAACAGGCTTGTGTTTAAATTGAAACAGCTGTAACTGAGTCAGGGAGACATCACAAATGTAAATAGTGAGAAAGTGAATAGGGATTCAAGGCTCAGGACAAAGAAGAGATCTTTTCCAGCTTGTCACAGTAGCTGCAGCAGGGACTCTATGTATGCAGCTATCATTCATATCTGCACTTGAAAATGCTCTGCAACAGGACAAACCTTCTGTAATTATGTACATAAACTGAACTGAAACTTGATTGTGAGATTCTCCACCACATTGGGAATTCAGTTCAATATAGTAGTTGGAAGCAGAAAGTTGAAACATCCCCCCACCCCCATGATAACTCATCCTGGACATCAGCAGCACCTGTAATGTTACCACAGGTCTTACATTATTGATTATATCAGTTAAAATCTCAAGCTCCACCAAAAGCTGTAGTTAAAGAAGAATCTGTTCTCACCCTCCTAAGGTTTTCAGCCTCCCATATGAGCTCAGAAATGGAAGCAAAAAGGCTAGATGTTTAATACTGAATATTGATATTGTTTGCATTATTGTTAAGAAGTTTGAAATTAAAGCACTGCAAAAATGAAGCGTGACAATTTTATAGAATTAAATATGTTTTAAGTCAGTTAGTGAAAGGATTTCATATTTAACTGGAAAAGAGCACTCTACCTTTCTGAACAGACATTTTCCTTCACATAAGAAAAGGTTATCTCATTCAAATAGTATAATACTTCAATGCCATTTCAATTCTCCAAGAAAAATAGCCAAAATTATTTGATACTAAAATCCAGTGAGATTGATTAAGTGCAAGTTCTGGAATCCAGAGAAGCTTCCTTTGAGGAGCTGATATTCCTGGTGAGTTCCATCTTTGGAAGCTCATTTTTCAGCCAACATCTAATTTTGCACTCCAGCTGGTCACTTTTTCCAAGTGAACATAAGCTTTAAGAAAGAGGCACGCACAGATGCACCTACAGCCTGAGGAACAAGCTTCACCCAGCTTTAAAGCTGGAGTTTATGCTGATAAAGATAGACCAATATTACTGGTTAATTTTCCAGTGAGAACTGCGAGCTTCTTTAGTCTCAAGATTGAGCGAACAGTTTAAGAAAATCGAGACCAACAGTTGAACAGCTCCACCTCCTCAGCTCCTTGCAGGGATTTCTGAAGCAATGAGGCCTGCAAGAAGGAAGCTCACCCATCTCTTCCTTTGATTTCAGTTTCCTCTGAAAGGTTTCTGAGAAAGCAAGAGCCAGCTGCAGTGGAGGTGACTTAAAGTACCAATGGATGTGACTGCTTAAGCAGAATATATGTTGACATCTTAACAGTGTCAGGAACTGATACAATAACCCGATCCCTTTTCCCCTATGCCACAGATAAGCAAGTTATTACAAGCTGACAAGAGGTGCGCTTTCTCAAGTCCATAGTGAACGCTGGGAATGCTGTCCTACCTGCAAGCACGAGTATTTCAAATGAATCCTGAAATGCACAATGTTTTCCTCGTTATCTAGAGATAATGCTATAAATAAGTAAATTTGTACAGAAAGACTACTGCAGAGATTCCAAACAAAAAGGGATTAAAGGTGTCCAACAGTTCTAGACTGAGAGAACTCCAATTTAACAGTGCTTGCTCAAGTCTGCCAGCAAACTGATTTCATTGCATTCTCAGGCCGTAAATTAAGTACTACCTGAAAATAAATTGAGAAGCAGATTTGAATGCACTCGGTCTCCTCACTGCAGAGTCCATCTGGCCTAAAGGCAAAAATTAATTCTATCTTCCACAAGCCAAGGATTAAAATGTTCCCACAACTCTCCAGTGAGCAAATTTGACATACTCTGTGCTTCAGACTTGGTAAGTGCTGTTCTGTTTACCTTTTTCATAGTAGCTGCACAGCAAGCAAAAACTCTTGCAATTATTTGCAAGAGCTCTTAAATCCCTTCACGGGCAAGTACACCTCACTGCCTGCTCATCTGGCAGACACAGCCTTCATGATCTTCTCTCTAGGAAGCATTGAAATCCCACACAAATGAAATAATGGCACCGGCCACGGATTTCCCCTCTTCACTTCCTCCTTAATTCAGTCAGGGAGACAAGCGGTCAGGCAAGCAGTCTCATCACAATACATGAATAAACATCATCTCTAAGTTTTGAGGTCTTCTTTCCCCATCCACCTTCCCATCCTCCAAAAACAAGAAAGAAAAAGCGCTGACTGCCCAGCTGTTGGCAATTCTAGTTTGTGCTCTCGCATATTTACACTGAAGATCAAGTATCCAGGAAAGGCCACAACTTAATACATGTAATAGATGCAGTAAATCAGCAGATGATTTTAATTTATGAAGCTATCAAAACAAGCAAGCCCATGCAAGTAGTTCTGTTTTCAAAGGTCTTCCCTCGCCCTGCAAAATCCTACAAGAGAAGAAGCCCATGCCAGTTTTGTCAGCATCACTTTCATCTGTGACCATGCTACATTTCTACTCTCTGCCACATTACCGCAGCAAACTTCAGAGACCAAAACTAAAACCTGCATCTCCAGAAGCCTAGAACAATTCAGTTACTGGTTGCTACACCCCTTTTTACTGTTTCCTTCCACACAAGGGTTTGGTCCAACCTACATTCTTCAGCAGTGGATATCTAGGAGACTTCACCTTCAGGAAACGCACACCCAAAGCTCCAACAATTACTCTACGTGCTAAGCTGGCTTGCTCCTGATCAGCTTTCACAGCCCCACCTCTGTGCTAGTGTAGCTGTCTGCTTCTTTTCAGGGACTACAACAAAACCATTCAGATAAGACATGGAGAAGCCTCAGTGCCCAAACAGAGCAAAACCCCAGACAGATATCGCCCCCACCTCGCCCCCCCCCCCCCACACACACACTCCACTATAATCACAAGCTGTCAGACACAAACACATTTGGTTCAATACCTTCACTTCACCCTTTCCCAATTTTTCCCCTGCATTTGAAATATACTCACAAAATGCACACCCCTATTGCTTTTCTTCTGTTCACATCTGCATTCAGCTGGAGAACAGCCTCAAACCACATCTAAGCCACGAAGGCAAAGCAGTAACAGAGTCATTTTTCCCATCAGTTTAGTGCAGTACAAATGACACTTGGAGAGTAGAAATAAGCCATAGATGTTCATGATGATGGTTATGGTTCAAGATACATACTACACTTTACAATACCAGCTGACTCAAGCACACTTGGACAAAGAAGCCTTAGTCTTCTCTAGTGCTGATCATGACAACTTATTGAAGCAGATCAAATTCATGCTGCTTATACCTTCTCTAATCACATCAACAGTTACACTGTGGTTGCCAAGTTTTAAAATATGTTCACTTTTTCTTTTTTAATAAAGTTAGATTCCTTTCATCTTTTTCCCTCAGCTGGTATTAGCAGAACTGAAGCATTTCAGGGGCCATCTAGCAAATCAGAGGCTACCAGTGTTTCTGCTGGTGGTTCAGCAGATCTCTAGGAAGGATTTGCTTCTGCAGAGCCCTTAGAATCCCTCACAGTAGCTGGAAAGCTTCTGCATGTTAGCTTCTTGTCATTTGTCTATAGCAACGTGTTCCTTGAACACAATGCATAGCAAACTGCCAGTGCACATCTTCTAGTTTCAGTAAGAGGGGACAAGCATTGCCTTCACACAAGGTATGTCTGAGAAGCAGTCTGAGTTGCATTCTGAAGTCACATCCACGTAGATGACGCTTCTCTTCCCTGCAACAGAAAAAACACTCACCTGTTCTGGTCTACAAACTGTGCTGTCAAAGGCAAAAAGAAAAAAAGAAAACCACCAACCTCTGCACAGTACTCTCAACATCATAATCTCTCAAAGAAAACGCATCCAAGAGCAACAAAAAGACAGAGCTGTGACAGCTCTATACAACAAAGGACTAAGCTGCATGCTCAGACACTAAGTTCTCCTTTCAGCCCCACCACTGATCTGCCTTCTGACATCTCTCCCCTGCTCAAGAGCCTTCCCAAAAGTCAGATGGTATGCAGCTGGTAGGGGGACAAGCAAACAAGAGGAGGAAAAAAGGCATTTACTTTTTTACCTTCTCACAACATTACAGTGTTTCAGAGCAGAAGTTTGCCCACAGCAACAGCATGAAGTGCCAAACAAGGCAGGCAGTCACTGTTCTCCAAAGCACTTCACCAAAATAATCAGTACAATCTTTCTCCATGTCTGTTTCAAAGACACTCTTTATGCCAGTAACTTGCAGAATGACCTAATAAGAAATACTGAAAAACACAGCAAAAAAAAAACAGCTCCTGGAAAGTTTACTTTAAGCAAGCACAGAAAATGCTCATTAAAAAAAAAAAAAAAGCAGCCAAAAAGACCAGTGTGGGCTCTGTTCCAGTTCTGTGGCATAATGCTTGCTCTGTTAGCACTACAGGCAGTACTTTAGGATCTGGCTGACACACCCAGTAAGTGGCTCCCAACATTGTGTTTGTTTACACCAGCAGCCAGGACTGAACTTACACTGGAATTCTGTTTATTTCTTTCAACAGAAGGCCTGGTTGGAGATTTCTGAATTGTGGAACTAAGGCAGGAAAAAGAATTCTTCCATACCAACAGCTGAATTTTCTGTTGTGGAGCTGGGATGATTGCAGCTGCATTTATTCACCATTCAGCACCAATGATGCTAGTATTTGGCTACTGCAATGTAACCATCTCAGATCCCACAGGACACAAATGGTGACCTTCAATAAAATATATGTACTATCCTCATGCCCTTCCTTTCCTTGCAGTAGGAAAACAAATCCCACATTTTTGCCACAGTCATTTACAGCACAGACTCACAGAGGTCAGAAGTTTCAATTAGTCTCTTCTAAGTAAAATTAAGCTCTACCAATGCACTCCCTCAACCAAGAGGTCAGTTTATATAGAACTATCAATGCTGATCACTCCCATTTGCAAGGAAAATTCTATTATTTTGGTGAAAATGACTCAGTACAAAAACCCTGGGTGCTCTCAGCTGTTTGACATAACATGTACTAATTCCCTTCCTTTTTAGCTACCAGACTCATGTGGGCTTTTTTGCCTTCTTTTTTTCCCCAATACTCAACTCCCCTAAAGGAGAAAACTGCGTCAGCTCCAGCTTTACAAGCAGTGCAGCCACTGTCTGAACAGAGACCACTGTCTTGCCTTAGAGCAAGAGAACTGGAAAGAAAAATAGCAAGGCAAGTGGGATTCTACAGATCTCTTAAAAACTCCTCCATACATCACCTTTTTGTATAGTGGTTTGGAAATATCATAATTTAAACATTGTTGCCATAATTGCCAACACTTCTACCCCAGTGATTCCCAAGCAGGCTTTTCTTTGCCACGTTACTCACTGCCTGATGGATTTCAGCCTTGACTTCTTCACTCAGCATTCCCTCAAACACAAAGGAATCTCCGAACTTCTCCGCCTATGGAAAGAACAAGATTTGATCACATTATCAAAGGAACATTATTCTCAAGATGCCAGTCGCATCCAGAGCTTTATTCTATCAAGAATAATGAAATTCAAACAGTAACTTTGAGTTGTTCTTCAAAGAATCTGTTTTGGAATGGAAAAGGCAGCATTTTGTCACAGGATGTCATTGTTCTTAACAGCCACTGGACAGATGGCTGCTCAAAGAGCTTCTGCAATTTTTTTTTTTTTTTTTTTAATTACTTCTGTTAATTAAAAATGCAGTTCCAATAGCCCCAATTGCTTTAACATGTTACAATGAATAATCTAACATTCAAGGACATATTGCTGTTTGCAATGAACAATTCCTGTTCAAACTCGAAATCGTTACACAACCTTCGTTCATAATTGAGCCAAAAACTAAGAAGAGCTGCTTTTATCTAGAGCACTATTTCTATCTAAAAGGATTCTGTCTTCCTGATGAGAACCAGCTTCACAAAAGAACTCAGTAGAATGTCTCCTTTGAGACCTGATCATTACCCATGCCTTTATTTGCCTAAACGTTTGACAGGGTTTTCTGAAAGTTGTGTAGGAACAATTAGCTGTCAGGAAAGATCAGTGCCTCATGCACAGGTAGCTTCTTTCTCCCAAGTACTTTAGCATATTCTTTCTTATCCCTTTGTTCCCAGTACCCTGCACAAAACCATTATGATACCTGCTATTACATCTTCTTTAGGCAGAAGAACCTCCTACCACTCAGCTTGTTATCAAGTAGCTGCAATGAACTAGCCTGCAGATTCCTCAACAATCACATCATTTTTCAAATCTCTCCACCCCTGCTCCTTTTAAATAAGGGAAAAAAAAAATCTCACAATGTTATTGTACTGGTACAAAGATGTTCTAGGACCCAAAGGTTTTAAAAAAAAGGGAAGTAATCCTCCTGTACTTGGGACTGGTGAGGCCCCACCTCAAGTACTGTGTTCAGTTTTGAGCACCTCAATACAAAAAGGACAGTGAGGTGCTGGAGCAGGTCCATAGAAGGGCAACAAGGCTGTGAAGGGCTTGGAGAATATGCCTTATGAGAAGTGACTGAGGGAACTGGGGCTGTTTAGCATGGGGAAGAGAAGGCTGAGGGGAGACCTTATTGCTCTCGTCCAATACTGAAAGGTGCTTACAGCAAGAGTGGGGTTGGTCTCTTCTCACTGGTGATGAGGGAAATGGCCTTGATCTTGAAGGTTTTTTCCAACCTGAGCAATTCTATGATTCTACTCTTCTAAAAAGTCTGCATAGGCATCTTCAGCCATCCGTTAGTTTCACCCAGGCTGCCTCAGCTTTTCGTTTCAGATATCAAGACACTGAAAGTTGCAGTAGCATCTATCTTCATGTCCTCATAGACTCCCAGGCAACAAGGCAAGACGACTCCATCTCTCTGCTACCCACATCCAAAATATTCTAGCATGCAAATCCCAATCAAATACTGCATTGCGATGTCCTTCAAAAAACAAGAGGTTAAGTTTTTAATGTGGTTTTTCTCAACGTAGACAACAATGAGAAGGGGCTACACAATTCCACCTTACCTCAGTGAGGTACCCAGTAGAATTCACGAATCTCTCAAATTCCTGATTGCTGACCTCGTATCGATCCATATAGAAGCTGTTAACATGGACTCTTCTTGCAGGCCACTCTCCATCTTGCTGTATTTCAGGCTCATCAGTGCCCATGGTGAACACTCCTCCTGGAATAGCAACCATCTGCAAGAGGAAACAGTTAACATCAACAAGTTATGAAAATGTAAGACTGAGAAGCCTCTTACTGGTTTTACCCGCCTCTCTATCTCATCTTTGGAGGTGCCTGTGCTCAGAGCAGCACCTGACAGATGAAAACAGCACAAGAAAATGACAGCCTTGACATTTCATTCACCATCTGCTTGAAGGGAACAGTAAGACAACTTAAACTGAGAGCAAAAATCCCATTTGTAGCTCTTTCTGCATTTAATCTGGGCAGTGCAGAATTTTCACCCAGGATAAATGAGCAAAAACATACTTTCTTACTGTATTAAAAGCCAAGAAGCAGTACAGAACACATTTTTACTTATTCTTAGATAAGCAGTTTTACATTTTACTCAATTCCTAGGAAGACTGGAAAAAGAAACTCGAGATTACAGAACTGTCAAGCACTCTTCTGAGGACAAGCACAGCATGCATGTTTGCACACCAACTTCTTAGGGCCTTCATTTCACAGGAGGCACTTGCAGCATTTGATCGCTAGTCACACTGCTAGCAGGCAGGCAGCGCCTGCAGCAACCTGGGCCAGAGGAGACACAGCTTCACATCAGTATATTCCACTCTGGATGACTGGCCTTCACAAGTAAAGAACAAAAGCAAACGAGGAGCAAAAGAACATTTTTACTGCTTCAATAAAATGTCTTTCAGCCATTTTCCAGGGAAACAAAGTTTCCCTCCACTTTTCTCAGAAGGCAAAGGCCCCAGAGGTCTTGTCCCAATGCAGCACATGTTTCCCAAGACCCCCCTGAAGACCACAGGTGGATCAAACTATTTCTTGCCCAACAGCCATTCCCACAACACACAACAACACCCCCAGTCCCACTCAGAAGCCTTTGTTAGAATGACAAGTGACACTACTGCTCTGCAATACCTCCCCAGGCAACGTTTGGAGGACTGATGTTACCAGGAGGCAGTTTGCCAAGACGTTGCCCAACTCATCAACACAGGAATGCATTAGGGAAGAATTGTCTGTCTGCTTTTTTTTTTCCTCCAGCATTCCAAAGTTCTTCTTTCACTTAGGTCTCACCCAGCAACACTTAAATTCATATAACTTGCAGCAGGGTTACGAGAAGCACTACAAATGCTTTTCCTTTGAATCAGCTACATTTAAAGTTAACTGTGTCCTCATTTACACTTCTCCACTACAAACGATCTGAGCACTTACAGATAGTCTGTAAAAGAATCCATAAAAGGGCTTCAGGATAAATCTGCTTACATTTTTCAGGCCTTTGGGAATGACAACATGGAAAGAGTTCACCACTTCCTTCTAACCTCATTCCAATGCACTGTAGCTAAAATAACTCCTTGAAGTAGTCTTCAAAGCAAGACTGAAATCTCACCAGTGAATCACTGTCTGAAAGCATGTGAAACATTAACTCATTCTTTACAGTCTAGAATTCATTTCCCAAACCTGAAAAATCCTGTCAGACTGCCCATCCATGACTGACATCCATGAACATTGATTCCACAGGACTACCAGCCTCTAGCAAGGCACATTTCACAGCCCTACCTCCTGTTTGGAAACAGGACCTTCCCTTGTCAGCTTTATGATAACATCAGCACATTTGGTGTTAACACAGGCTGCAGGGCTCAGATGTCTGGCAGCATTCTTCAGCAAATAATGGTGGAATGTGGCATTACATGTTTCTGCAGCAATATCGCATCCAGAAAGAACACTGTGACATTAATTAAGCCGTTAACAAACATCCAACTTCAAAGTACAGGTAGCTAACGACAAGGAACTAGACCTTAAGAAGCATCACAGCTGAACTACGGAAGCAGAAAACCAACAGCAGAGGCCGACAAACGTCATCCACTGTGCCGGGCAGTCAGAGACTGTTAGCCTTATGGCGAGGCCCACGGTGAAACGCCAAGATCTGTTCCCTTCAACACACCGTTTCCCATAATCGACCACGTCTCACGCAGCAGGGCACTAGGTGTCAGCAGGCCGGATATTAGGAACAATTTATTCTCTAAAGAGCGGTGATGCCCTGCACGGACTGCCCGGGGAGCAGAGGGGTCACCATCCCCGGCAGCGTTCAGAACGGTGGAGATGAGGCAGTGCGGGACCGCGGTTCCTGGGGCTCAGTGAGGGCGGGTCGGACAACAGACGCCCCGAGAACGCGGCTCCGCGGCTCCTCGCCTCCCGCCCTCCCCTCGGAGAGCGCCCAGGTTCCCGCCCCAGCCGCCGCCCGCCGCTCACCGGCCCGCGCCCAGAACTCCTGCCGCCGTTGGCCGCCGCCGAGTACCGCCGTGCCGCCGCCTCTCGCTCATCCCCACGGCCACGACTAGCGCCGCAGCCGCAATTCCCGCCGGGAGCTGCCTCCTTCACGGCGCCGACAGCCACCGCCAGCCCCACTCCCAGCAGCAGGAACAAGCGGCGGAGCGCTGCGGGCGCAGCCATATTGGCGAGAAGACCACGTGCCAGCCGCAGTCACGTGATCGTCCGCCTCTTAAAGGGGCAGCGGCGCCGAGCTCCTACTGCCCCTCAGCGGGGTCCGTTATCTGGAGAGGAGCTGCTGCAGAGAAGCTGGAGGTGGAGGGCGCCAGCAGCACGGAGATGGCATTAATGGCAGAGACTTGGACGGGTTCGGGTCGAAGGCTCCAGTGTGCTGCGTTTAGTCTGAATGAGTTCAACAGCAAAGTGGAATGTGAGAGTGCACGGAGCCTTCTGGTGTGTGCGCCTGCATCTCCCCGTTAATGGGAGGCGGTGCAACCGAGCATCATCTGAGCATAAGGGCTGAGGAAAAAGTAAGCAAATACTAAATTGCCGGGGACACGTGTTTGTGTCCTTGTCCTGGGACTCGGATGTTTCATGCTTAAAAATGGATTTTACCAATGTGTGGTACAAGAAGTCTTTGTGGCAAGAACACCACTGTGAACCGGAGGGGGAAAGGGAGGAACCAACTTTTCTTTCCAAGTGAACACCAAACCCTGTTGTTGCAGCCCTTGGGCTCTTTTTGCAGGCGCTGGTGGCTGAGCAGCAGTTTGTCACCAGCCAGGTGAACAGCAACATGCTAATGTGCAAGCTGAGTGGGTCAGGACTGGAAAAATACTTCATGGACGCATAACAGCCTCCTGCTTTGCCCTTGGGAGAGGCAGCAATTTGCTTCTAGTAGCAAAATACAAATTGCTACCCTACTCTGTGCCAGCTCGGCTGGCTGGGGCTTTGCAATCAGAGCAGCAGCAATTTCCACTCACCATCCCTCTGCTATGGAGCTGAGGGAGCAGCAGGTGCGCTCAGCTGCCTTCCTGTGTGCCATAAACCCTCAGCCCTGCTCTGGTATCCCCATGTATGCACTGCCTGGGGAAGGCATGGAGCCTGAGGCAGATCCTGCACCAGTCTGATGGTGAGGGACCTGTCTCACTCTGAACCTTCTGCACCCTCTGCATCAGAGAACAGCACCTTGTTTTCTTTAGTTTTTCCTGTAGGTCACTGCAGCTCTTGAAGACTTTGGTGCTCCAATGTGAAAATCTTTACTTTGTGTGGAAATTTCTGTTCAGGACCATCAGCAGAATGTATTCACTGGGTCCTCCACTACGCTGAGGGAAATTTTTATTCATTATGTGGGATGTTAATTGCATATATTTAATATCATTTTCCTCGTATAAGTGGGGACTATGCAGCAAAAAAAGCCTAGCTAGATAGAAGGCTCTTAGTTTGTTTTCTTTTGTATTTGTACAAAGGAGCACTACTTAGCTCTATTGGCTCCATGAAATTTTATTGTGTGCTAAAATGACAGTGCTGAGAGTCTTCACAGGCATGCATTCCAATTATCTATCATTAGTCCCTTTTGCCCTGTGACGTACTTAGAAAATCAGCAGAGTGGAGGAAAATAAAAGCATACAAATTTAATTATAAAATCAAGTCACCCTTGCTGCTTCAGGGTCAGAAGCCATAAATATTCCTTTTATGCAGAAACAGTGATCCTAGCCCCATGCAGTAACAGATCTGTGAAAGTGCAACGTAATTATAACTTATTTTCTCCTTTCAAATTTCCAAAGCAATTTACTGAAATGGCAGCAAAATCTAGGTATCCAAATTCTACTGTCTTCTGGAGCTCCAAGCAGTCTGCTAAAACAACTTGTCCTTATTAAAGCTGTGGGACCCTGGCTGTGTCAAAACCAGCTCAATTCCATCAGCTAGCACAGTTTTCTCATGTATTATGCCTACTTGTTCTCATTGCCTGTTTTCCTAGAATTCTTTTCTGCCTTGTTTATGTACTTCCATCAGTAAGATTTATATTCTTGTGTTCTCTCAGGAGACTAAACGAAGCAATGGCAATGACAGTTTGATTCTGAACAGCATCCAACTTCCAGCTTCTAATCCGGAGGACTTCTGAGAACTTTTATTGGTGTCATTTACCCATCATCTTTATGCTCCAAAGTCATTACTTCACAGGCAGCTAATCTCTTCTGCACAGGGTTTAATTATTCTCTCTGCTCTCACTGATTACACTGTGCTCCAGAATTAAGACACTGGTTTCACTGTTATTTAAAATATTACAGAAATAGGATCTTTCAGCACTTAGCTGAAAAGCTGAGGTGTTGCCTAGCATTCCTCTGTGTTGCTAATGTTTTTCATCTCCTACTGCTGCAGTGCTAGCATAGACAACTCTTACTGGAAGCTTTTATGATCATCTATCTCTTCATGGAGACAGGTCACGTGCAAATTAGCCTGTTTGATCCCTGCAGTCCTGGTGGCTGCCTGAAATATCTTCTGTTCCTCTTCTTCTTCCCTGGCTTCTGCTTGAGCAGCTGAAACAACAGCAGAGGAAGAAGTATGCAAACCAACTCAGCAGCCTGGAGTGCTTTCTGACTGAAATAGTCCAAGCAAGTCAACAATTAATTGTAAATTAGGCAGCATTAAAAAAAAAAATTAAAAATCACATGCACAAACAACAAAACACTTCTTGCAAGGTGTTTTCTTGTGACAGAAATCACATAGATGGTTGGGCTGAACATCTGTATTACAGCTCTCTTAAAATTAAGGTGGTATCTACTATTTCGTCTTTTTTATTTTTTTTCAGCACCTCCTCCCTGAATTCTTGAACAGCTTTTGCTCCTTGGACCCTTTTTTGTATTTACACACAACCTAAGCCCAGTCTCTTGTTTGCTGGTGATCTGATAGGACCCTATTCCTCATCTCTCCGTTCTCCACAGTACTTTTGAGTGTGAATTCTGTCATTTCCAGGCTGCCCTACCATTTCATCTGTTCTTAAAGCTATAAGATTATAGGAGCCTTATAAACTCACTGTGCTTGCAACAGCATCCCAAAGAAAAATGGAAACTTTTCCTGTATTGGAAATGCCTGTGATTATCTTCCCAATATCCCTTCAAATCTTTGCATGACTTGGTCAGTATCTGTGGCTGAAAGGCCTTCACTGGCACATCCTCCACAGTCACTGAAGAACTGACGCAGCAAAGGTATTCAGTGAGAAAAAACGTAGCCTCTGACATTCCAGAGAGGCTGCAGAAGGAGCAAGAGATTGACAACATGACTGCTGCAGTAGAAGCAAAGAGGGGTGCCTGCAGCACTTTAGACACCAAGCTGGTCATTTGCAGACTGGGATGGAGCAGAACATCCCCAGGTCACCCCTGCTGTCTTCTGCGCACCTCAGCTTCATGCTGGCAGGCTCTGTGGGAATTATTTTATGTGCAACTTCTCACATACTGCTGCTGCTCTTCTGTGCACCAAGAACAGAGCTCTGCACACTGATAGCAACAGGCCCAGCTCCTCATGTTGGCTGCAACGACTGTCCTTCCACTGCTGCCCAAAGCACTGTGCCTACATGCACCCAGTGTTCTGGCCCTTGCCTGCCTTGGCTGCTCAGCTCTGCCAGAGATTAGATTTGATTACATGGGAATTCATTAGGATTACCTAACGATATTAGGCACCATTATTCTGCCAAATTTCTGATGAGTAACGGCTTTGTAATACCGCAGCCAGGGATGGGAATAGCACAGCTCCACCGCCGACCTCCACTTCAGTTTCTAGGCGGCGGACCTCAGCTTTGCACATCTGTGCTTAGCAGCACCGGTTCAACTTCTTTACGGTATTTCGGTGCAGGAGCAGCACGGTGGGCAGTGTGTTGGCAGCCCTGAGCCAGGCCTGCTCCTGCAGCTCCACAGCAGGCCGGGCAGCGGGCATCGCACGGCCTGAGGTGACCGAGGCCGGGTGCTGCGCGCTGCCTGAGGTGACCGAGGCCGCAGGTGGGCGGGGGACATTTCCCGCCCTGTACACCACAGCCGAGCTCTGGACGTGCCCGCCTGTACCCCACGGCAGGCAGAAAACTGCGGTGCGACCACAAACCGCATCTCCAGAGGAATATTTTAAGGACAAATAGTTTATTTACAATAAACAAAAGCGAGCATCGCTTATTTCCCACTGCTGCTCGCTGCTATCAGTAGCGGCGTCGGCCCGTGGCGCCGACGAGGACCCCAGCCTGGCAGAGCGCTCCCTCAGGGAACTCCGCGGCGGGCCCGCGCTCCGGGCGCGGCGCGGTGCACGCTGGGAGCCGTAGTCCTGTCAGGGCGCTGCCCGCCTCCAGCGCGCGGCGCGGGGAGCGGCCGGGACTCCACTACCCAGAAGGCCCTGCGCGGCTATATAAGGCGCGGCGGCGCGCTCGGGGCGCAGTAACCATGTGGATGCGTGGCTGAGGCGGCGGCAGCTCGGCGCAGCCTTCATCCTAACGGAGCGGGCAGCGCCGCCGGCCAGCATGGGGCTGCACCGCTAGCCCGCCCCGCGCGCCGCAGCCAGGTAGGGATGGGGGGAGGGCGGCGGGTCCGGCGGGAGCCCGCTCGGTGCGGCGACAGTGCTGCGGGTGGGAGAAGCGGCGGTGTGGGCAGCGCGCGGGGCAGCGCGCGTGGCCGCTGTGCGCTTCGGCTGTTAGCAGCGCCGTGCCCGTGCGGGCGCTCGGGCTTCTCACTCCTCCGCTGCCCCGGGGCGCCCGGCCCCGCGGTGCCGTCCGGCCCGAAGGCCCCGAGCCGCGCTTCCCGGCCGTGTGCGGGCTGTGAGCTGCTGAGCCCGCTCCTTCCCGGCCGAAGTTCCTCCGTGCTCGCGCACCGCGCTGCTCCCCGCGCTGCGATGTGAGCCCGTTTCCTCGCACGGCGCTGCGGGCCCTCGGTGCCCCGCGGTTCTGATAATGGTAATGGGCCGCCGGCTGACCGCTGCGGGGGGCGAGTAGCGGCTGTAACGGGGCGCTTTGGAGCGAGCCGGGACTATGGATCAAGAGGGGTGTGGGGCGGGTGGAGCGGGGCCGGAGGAGACCGTGGTGATGGAGGAGAACCTCCGCTGAGAGGGAAGGCTGAGAGCCGGGGAGGGCAGCCTGGGGAACAGAAGGCTCCGGGAGTCCTCGCTGCGGCCTTCCGCTACCTGGAGGGAGCCGATAAACAGGAGAGAGACTTTGTGCGTG